CCCGGCTCCAGAGAGGGCAGAAGATGGGGAAGAGATACAGAGAGTGCAGTCCTGACCCTTTTTGGGGGTCTGCCCCACCCCCTACCAGAGATCTCAAGCCGTGCCTTCCTCTAGCCGCCCAGCAGGGATCAGGCCACTTTCTCCCTGTCCACCCCCCCACACCCCCGCACTCTCTCCATCAGACGTATCCCGATAGCCTGCCTCCTAGGACATCCTAATTGGTACCCGTTCTCAACCCCTGGCTGGCCCCTCTCCATCTTCTCCCACCAAGCCCTCCATTTCTTGCACCAGAGGATGGGCATCGGTGGAAGGGTAGAGGGAATTCAGTCCAAGACCTTCCCTGGTGTTTGCCCTCTGCCACCCCCACCTCAGGGGTCAGCAGGCAGCAGTGAATTTGTAGCCGTCCCAGGGAGATGCTTCCTTCTCCTCACATTTCTTTCTGCCATCAGCCTGCACTTATCCAGAGAAATAAGAGATGGTACCCAGACCTCTCCCACAACACTCACTCAGTTTTCTGCGCCAAAATGAATGGGGGTGAGAGGGAGGTGGCATCTGTAAAGCAGACAGGATCCTCTAGCCTCGGTCCGTTACCACCCCTACCCCAAGGCTCCCCCCACCCACACACCTAGTACTGACCTGCAGGGCTATAAGGCAGTTGGCCCCTCTGTCCCTCAGTCTGAAATCTCTCTTCCTTCACAGAAATAGGGGACGAGCACCTGGAGGAGAGGGACTTCTGCACACGTCGGCCCCTGATCACGTGAGGGAAACGTCACCAGTGGGCTCGGGTCCCTTGTTCCCCTCCCACCGGGAGAAAGTGCGTCAGGAGCCAGCCCACTTCTCTCTTTCACTATCCCGGTTCCCCTCGCCCCCCTTCAGTCTTCTCTCCTCACCGCTTGAGACTCTGTCACACATTTTAGCTTTTGTTAATCCCAGAGGTCAACTGTGGCCCCTTCTCCCTGTGGTATGAGTTCTGTTTTATCAGGGAAGGGCTGCATCTTGTCCTAGTGCTACTGGACCTTGGTACATCTCTGAGGAATTTTTTCTTTCTCTTCACTGATCTTGGAGCACCTATGCCTTGAATCTACTTCTCCACTCAGCCATGGATGCTCAATCCTCCTGTCCCCTGGACCTTCACATAATAGGTACTGGGTGGATTATCAGATAAGGAAGAGGTTAGTTGAAATAGAGCTTTTATTTTCTTCTAATTTTTTTTTTTTTAGTTTTATTTAATTTACTACCCTCAGCATGGGTTACTCTTTTTTTAAGTTTAAAAGATTTTTCTTTTTTAAGGCACTCAGATATTGAGGATCAACTTCTGCTATTACAAGATATTTCTGTAAAAGGAATGTGACAGAGTTTATACATCCTGGTATCTTTGCTCCTTGCTTAAATAAATTCTTAAAGTGCATGAAAGGAAAATGAGCTAATAAACATAATCTTATCCTTTACTCTCCAGTTTCTTTTTTAATGCTTCACAAAGTTTATAATCACTTTGAAATGCCTTGAAGAAGGTAATATCACAGTATCTCTGTCTTTCTAAAATTTTTTCTTCTAATTATTTTTTTAGCAAAAAATTTTTTATTGTTGACTCTGTTACAGATGTCCTCCATTTCCCCCCTTCCTTTGCTCCCCTCCACCCAGCCCCCACCCCTCCTAAGCCTTCACCACATTATTGTCTAAGTCCATGTGTTATGCATATATGCATATATATTCTTTGGTTGCTCTCTTCCCATCCTCCCCACCTTCCTCCCTTCTGAGATCTGTCAGTCTGTTCCATTTATTCATGTCTCTAGTCCTATTTTTTTGTCAGTTTATTTTGTTCATTAGGTTCCACAAAGAAGTGAGACCATGTGATATTTGTCTTTGACTGGCTTATTTTGCTTAGCATAATAGTCTCCGTGTCCATTGTATAGATTACTCTTATAAGGAAAAAATTAAATAAAGCTACTTTCACTTGGGAAAAAACATATTTAATATAGAGGAGGAAACCAACATGATTCCAAAATTCTGAGAAAAAGTTAAGTTCATAACATTAAATTTTACTATATAGAAAATTTGATTGGCTACATACAAAATGTTTTTAATTTTCAGAAATAGCTGGTTCTGTCATGTTTTACTAAAATTACATGTATTTAATGTTCCCAAACAGTTACTGAGTGCTAAGTAGATTTGCTGGAATCTAGTAGGTGACACAATATTTGTCTTGAAAATTTGTCCTATGGCTACTTTCATTCAGAGATTTAGCTGTGAACAAAGGCAGCTAAGGGTCTGAGGGATGCAGACATGGTTTGATCTTTCCTGCCCTGTCAAGAGGGAAGGGATATGGTGTTTCCGAACCCCTCCTTGCCTTCCAGAGCCTCTCATCCTTTAAGTTCAGGCACCTGACAGTTGCTCACTCCAAAAATATACATGGAGAGGTAACCAAGATGATGCCCTAAGTCAATGCTTTTGGTTCCTTCCCTCCCCCAAATTCCCACAGAGGTAATTCAACCCAGCAGATATGAGAATGCTGTTCTGACAACTGGAAACCACAACAGTTCTCTTCCTGATCCCTGCAGCAGAGTGTTTCCATAATGCCTGAAGAAGTGATTGGGGGGGGGGGTTGGAGGTGTCCAGACCCGCCTTCTCTCTACCCTATTCACAGATCCAGGTGTAAGTAAGCTTCCTTGACCTTGCCTACCATTTGACTTAGGAGTTGCAGCCTGCTGGGTCTCTCAACTCCAGTATCTTCACCTCCAAGGCACCTAGAAGGAGCCTAGCCATATTGCAGAGTTGCTGCCTGCCAGTCCACATCCACCCCATCACCCTCTCAGCCAGGTTAGGCCAGTGTCTAAGGAACTCTGACATGGTGACCATACTGATTGATCTAAACCAGGTGTTTTCAGTTGTGGAAGTCTGTACACTGGGAACTTGAGAAACCCTGATACATGAGCAGACTGACATCATGAATAAGCAGAAGCTAGGAGGTAGAGAAAAGACAGAGAGGAGAAGGAGAAATGCTACTTGGAAATGAGACAGAAAGTGGAAGATACAAACGGCAGCTGGGCCATATTAAAGGGAGAGCACTTACTCCTTGGGTTCAGGCATTCTTAACTAGAGAAACATATGAATGCCCTGGAATTATGTTCAAAATGCTGTGTGTGTGTGTGTGTATGTGTGTGTAGAGGAAGGATAGAATATGTACATTTTTTACTGGGCATGTACATTTTCCTAGGTTAGAGTCTATTGCTTTCATTAGATGCTCAAAGGGGTATGTAATATAAAAAACAACAAAGTGAAGTCCAACTGGCCTATAGAATATACTTCAACATTTTTTCCAATTACAGTTTATATTCAATATTATTCTGTATTAATTTCAAATGTACAGCATAGTGGTTAGACAATCATGTACTTTACAGAGTGGTCTCCTGATATTTCAAGTACCCACCTGGCCCCAGACATAGTTATTATGATATTATTGACTGCATTCCCTGTGCTGTAATTTATATCTCTCTGACTATTCTGTAACTACAAATTTGTACTTCCTAACCCCTTCACCTTTTTCACCCAGGTCCACAACTTCCTTCTTCCCCTCCCAACCTCTGGGAATCACTAAATTCCATCTCTATAATTGTTATTTTTAAAATGTTACATAAGTGAATTTACCATTTGAGTTTTTTGACAGGATAATTTCCTTGAGATCCATCCAATTGTTACACACATCAGTAGTTCATTCTTTTTTTATCGCTGAGTAGTATTTCATGATATGGATGTACCACCACAAGTTGTTTAACTATTCACCTGTTGAAGAATATTTGAATTTCCCACCTTTTGATTATTACAAATAAAGTGGTTTTGAACATTTGTGTACATGTTTGATTATATTCTGAACACTTTGATTATTATGAGGTTTTATTTTTTAACATGCTATTCCCCTGTTGAGGTGTGTGTGTATGTTTAGCTTCACCCTGGGTCCTGTGGACCTCACCCTGGCAAAAATGCAAGGCTGGTTCACACTGCATCATGGCAGATGCCTGGAATGGAAATTCAGCTCCCCTGTTGGCCTTGCTGACACTTTCTTGATGAAAGTGAGGCATTAACTGTCACAGTCTCCTTTGCTTCCAAGTAGGGGTGTAAGATCAGCTCTCCACTGGGCTGTTCTCACCAAGGAGCGTGCTAAGAGAGGGCTGACTGACACCAACTTTTTGCCACAGGGTAGCTCAACTTCTTTTTTGGCCCTACTCACACCAAGGGAAGAGAAGGAGAATGCTAGGTGACAACTAGCCCCACTTTCCACCCCCTTGGATGACTTCTTGATGCCAGGTACAGACTCAACTAGATCTTGCTGAACTGAGGAGATGAATCCTAGTGGTTACTAGCTTTGCCTTGCATAGCTTTGTTAAATCTCATTGCTGTTGGGTAGGAGTAGAGGCTCAGCTCACCCCTGGACCATTGTGACACTACTCTGAAGAGTTGGTCAGACCACTGCCTGCATCATCTGGGCAGAGATAGATTAGCTCCTTTTCAGTCCTAACAACACTATTTGAACAACTCTCCTGTTCTCCAGTCCAGATACTGTTGGTAGGACTAGAAGGGAGCTGATCTATTTATGCCCAGATGATGCAGTGGCCAGTGAAATGAAGTAGATTAGCTCCCTCTTGCCACCCCTGCCCCCCCCCAGGCCAAATTACAGAACTGGGAAGGGGTCAGTTTTTCTTTGTCATTTTTCTGGAGTATTGTAGTTATTGACAAAAATGTTTTCTTTTTAATCTGTTGTTGTTTTTTTTTCTTTTCTTAATTTTAGCAAATGTTTCATTCTCCATTGGGATGATCATATAGTTCTTCTATTTTACGTTAATGTGGTGAGTTCCAATGATTTTCAAATGTTAACCCTACCTTGAATCCTTGGGATAAAACTTACTTGGTCATGGTGTATTGTATTTTTTATACTAAAGTTTTGTTAAAATCTTTTGCATATACATTCATGAAGGCGATTGGATTGTAGTTATTTTTTGTTACATAATTGTCTGGTTAGTTATCTGGGTAAATCTAGCTTTGTAGGATTATTTGGGAAGTATTTCCTGCTCTTCGATTTTCTGGAAGATTTTATGTTATGTTACCCTTAAATGTTTGGTAAAATTACCAATAAAACCATCTTGACTTAGAATTTTTTTTGGAGAAAGAATTTTAAATAAAATTTCCATTTATTTAAACTATAGGCTTTCTTCTATTTTAATATGTATGTTTAGTGCTATAAATTTCTCCTTGAGTACTTATTTTGCCACATTCCACAAATTGTCATACGCTGAGTTTTTATTTTCACTCAGTTCAAAGTACCTTATAATTTCCCTTTTGACTTCTTCTTTGGGTTATTTATTCATGTGTTATTTGAAGTTAATTCCAGAGGTCTTTCTGTTATTAGTTTCTTTTTTTCCCTTTTTTTCTTTTTTTGTGACTGTAGCAGTATGGTTTATTAATCTGTGCCTTAGTATAGGCGCTGGGGCTTGCTTATGGTGCTCTTGATGTACCCAGCCAGGACGTTCTGCCGATTGNTGGTGCTCTTGATGTACAAAGCCCGGACGTTCTGCCAATTCTTTTTGAGCAATGACACCAGGAAATTGACAGCTAAGTGGATGTTGTACACAAGCTCATCGTCTGTCATCTTCACTTGGCCAACAGCCACTGCCAGACACAGCACCTGTGGGGAAGAGGAAGGTCAAATCATGGTGGCCAGATGGAAGAGAACATGGGAAAAGTGAAACACCTACAAGGCAGACGGCCCGTTCATCCCTCCCAGTGACAGTGAGCAGTGCTTTGGCCCCAGGCCCTGAAAAGCTCCAACCATGTTCTGTGACAATCGCATGTCCAAAGCATCATAGACATGCAAACCAGGGCTACCATTTTAAGAACGTGGGCCAGTGCCAGGGCCCTGCCACCACCACCACCACCACGGCTTAACCTAAGCACCAGCCAGACTTCCTTACCTTCTTCATCTGGAACTTGATTGTGGATTTCACTTCATCGACTTTGGCCACCATGTTCTCATTGTGGGTCAACAAGGAAGGGAACTTCCCAGCCTTATTCAGGCCTGGGCCCAGGATGCGTGGAATCTGCTTGATCAGAGACTCTGACGCCAAAAAGGCATCATACTTCTTGGCCAGCTTCTTGACCAGTTTCTTATTCTTGTTGAGTTTCTTCAGCTCCTCGATTTCCATGTGGGGGATGTCCACAGCCTTGGCCTCATCGCAGTGCTGCTGGTCCCCCAGAACACATACGGAGAACTTGGGGCGGGGAGTGGACTTAAGCCCGATGGTGCCCGAGAAACGTTTGTCCTTCTGAGGGTCATAGTTCTTCAAGCTGATCTGCAACTCCACGGTCTCCAAAAACTTGCGGCGCTTGCACTGGTTCCCGTGCAGGACTTCCCGCACCACCCATACAGGGCGTCGCGGGAGACTTTATTGCTCATAGTTCCTCGCCCCGCAAAAACCGGAAAAAACTGTTATTAGTTTTTTATTTAATTCCACTGTGCTCAGACAACATATGTTTCATTATTTGAATCTTGTAAACAGTATTGAGACTTATTTTATGACCCTGAATATAGACTACCTTGATAAATGTTCCATATGCATGTGAAACAAGTGTTCGTTCTACTGTAGTTGGTGGCAAGTTCTACAATTGTCAACTAGGTAAATTGGTTCATAGTGTTGTTCAAGTTTTATATATATATACCTGCTGATTTTCTCTCTACTTGTTCTATTTTTTTTAGAAAGGATGTTGAAATCTCTGACTGCAATTGTGGACTCGTCTGTTTTTCCTTGCAGTTCTATCAGTTTTTGCTCCATCTATTTTGAAGCACTGTAGTAAATGAATGTTTAGGATTGTTATGTCCTCTTGACCAACTCACCACTTAAAAAATTATGCAATGACTTTCTTTTTTTCTTTTTCTTTTTTTTTTAATCCTCACTTGAGGATATTTTTTCCATTGCTTTTCAGAGAGCATGGAAGGGAGAGAGAGAAAAAAAATCCGTGTGAGAGAGACACATTGATTAGCTGCCTCAGACTCACGCACCAACCAAGAGTCTGAGATTAAGCCTGCAACTGAGGTATGTGCCCTTGGTCAAAACTGAACCCAGGACACTTCAGTCTGTGGGCCTACTCTCACTTTAACGACTGAGCCAAACCAGCTAGGGCTGCAATGACTTTCTATGACCATAATATCCCTGATACTATTCTTTGCTGATAGTCACTCAAGCTTTGTTTTGATTAGGTGTTAAGATTGTCCGTCTTTTTCCATTCTTGTACTTGTAATTGTTTGCATCTTTAAATTTAAAACAGGTTCTTATAGGCAGCATATATTTGTGTCTTCCTTTTCTATACAATCTGATAATCTCTGCTTTATAACCAAGGTGTTTAAACCATTGACATTAATGTGATTATCAATATTAATATGTTTGACTTTAATTCAGTCATCTTATTTGTTTCCATTTGGCCCATCTGTTCTTTGTTCTCTTTTTCCTCTAACATTTTTTTGACTGAAAATATTCTCTTATGTTGGCTTATTAGCTACAACATTTTTCATGATTGTTTTGAGGTTTATAATATACATTTTTAACATTTCATAATCTACCTTCAAGTGATATTAATGTATAGAATAAGAACTTTAAAATTGTGTGCTTTTATTTCCCTCTCTTGGTCTTTGTGCTATTACTGACATACATTTTACTTCCACATATATTATAAATCCTACAATACACAGCAATCTGGAGGCAATCACAAGTCTCACATTATTTGTTCCCCTCCCAGAGAACTTTGTTTTCCACTATCTATATTCAGTAACTGAAAACTGTTTTTTCATATATTTTGTCCAGGTTTCAGTTGTTTAAATTAGTGAGGTAAATCCAGTCCCTGTTGCTCCATTTTCATTTGAAGCATAAATATGGCTTGATGTTTTAAATGATGGCTAATCATGAAGGCTTTATTTCACTTCTAACCAGATCATTGCCTCTGCTATGTGGCTTTCCTGAAAGAGTCCAGTGTCTGTGTATAGTCCCTGCTCTGCCTCTGACTAAAAAGTTCAAACTGCACTGCTTTCTTTGGTCACAAGATGGCCCTTAAGCCTATTTTCTGAATTTCTTTCAATGATCTTGAATTTTCTCAGGAAAAAAAAAAAAAACCTAAAACAGAAAAACAACCACTAATCAGTAATTCTTTTAATTCAAAAGTTGAGATGTTATCTGCATTATTAATTCAACTTTGTTAGAATTACATAGGATTTAAATATGTATACCTGTTTATCATTTGCTGAATACCATTAAATCCATACGTGTTCAGTTTCATTCATCAAATAGCTACTAGATGTACAGGGTGTGCTAAAACCCCAATGGCCCAATCCATATCTACATATCAAACCTCTCTTTTGAATATCTTTTGCCTTTAAGACCAGGGTTCACTGCCTTCTCTTCACTAGATTTTTAGGCATTATTGGAAGAATTTGTCCCTTTTGACAATGGTCACTCTGAGTGAGAAAAGGCGGCTCACCACCTAACATATAGAAATGCTATAAATAGGAAAATGCAGCCAGACTCTTAGATATGGCTGTTCCTTCTAGGGAACTTCATGCCCTGTTCCTTTACTGCCTTTTGCTCACTTTCTGATGGTTGGTCACTGCCTGAGCATTTTATGTGGAGCCTAACAGCTCACATACTACTAAGAACCAAGGGAAGCTGGTTAGCAGAGGGCTTTCTCTCCAGAAACTACAATCTTAAACCCACCCTTCTCTGAGGCTCTAAGGGTAACTTGGATTTGTCTATACACAGAAGAAACGTAAATTTTTTCTGAGCATATGTATGTCTAACCTTCTATCACATTATGCCATGGGTTCACATGTGAGCTTCCAGTTTCTCTATATGAAGGAGCTGCTGAATATCCTTAGGCCAGTGAAGACAGAATTCTTCTGTTTGACATTGAAACTGGTGCAAATATTGGCAATCAAGAGTAAAGAGCCTGGTGGGGCATAAGCTTCTCTGTTCATCAGTTTTCCTTCCAACTTTGGCTTTTCTCTTTATGAACTTCTGTATTACATGGATGTGCCTGTGTCTCAAGCACTTGAAAGAGGGAGGGCTCTGGAATTACTTAAGCATATGATTCATGATGTCTAGGGTTTGCCATGTTACATGTTTTCACCTGTCTTATTCACTTTTCCCTTTGGTTTCATAAGTGCTATTGTGATGTTATAGTCTAGAGCAGGGTTTCACAAACTTTCTATTAGGTCCAGATAATAAATATGCAGGCTTTGCAGGCAGACCATACTGTTTCTTTGACAACTATTCAACTCTGCCACTGTAGTGCAAAGCCAGCCATAGACAATATGTAAATTAACAAGTTTGGATGTATTCTAATAAAACCTTATTTATGGATACCAAATTTTGAATTTCATAGTTTTGTCACAAAATAGGTTTTTTCCCAACCATTAAAAAAGGTAAAATTTACTCTTAGCTCATTGGCCAAAAAAATAAATAGGCCAGATTTGGCTCTTGGACTGTGGCTTCCCAACTTGTTTTATAATCCTTATTTCTAAGTTTATTTCCACAAAAGATTACCTTCATACATAAAATGTTTTTCACCTACTTAACACACTCCAAGGAAACTTTATTCCCCAAGTTCTACTGGAACACTTAAACACAATAGTCTTCCTTTGGACTTCTCATGAGATCTCCACATTTGGGTGTCCACTGAATTCACTCACATCTCCTGACATCCAACTCAGTATAAGGTAATTCTTTATATTTGTAGGTTTCAAGGGGCTGGTGTGAGGAAGAACTGTCTCAGATTGAAAGTGAGCTCTGTTGCCTCACACATTTTGTAAAGTTTAATGAACTAGGGAGGTTTTTTTAGGAGAGAACTACACCTAAGGAAAGAGAACCAGACATAAAATGTCTTCCCATGATGCTAAACATGGAGAGGGGATTTCTGCACACTTTTATAGAATAGCGTGAGGATTCAATTGATTGGGAGTTCCAGAGAAATCAATGGGACTTTCTCACCTTGAGGATTCCTGAACATCAATACCCAGTAGAGAGATTGGGAATGAAGCAAAGCAGGAGAGAAATGTAAGTGCTTACTTCTTAGCTCAGGGGACTTGAGCATAGGACACCTGGCTTTAAGAAATTCCCCAAATATCTGAAGGGAATATCTAAAGGGTTGGGTCATGCATATCTCGGTGGGAGCAAGAACTTGCAGAAAACTCACAAACTTATTGCATTAACAAGTACTCACAGCAGCCCTGGGAAATGATTACCTTCATCTTGATAAATATAATGATCTTTAAAGAGATATATCTTGTTATTAAAGAGATCCAGAGGTAAGCTAAAACAGATTCTGACATGACTGTATAGTAAGTGTTCAGATTGCTTTTATCATGTGGTCAAGCTCTTCCATTAGGTAATATGTTCAGTTTTTTTAAAATGAGAAAATATAGATAAGAAAATATAAATTACTCATAATTCTACCACAGAGATGAACACTTTAATTTTTTACTTCATGTATTCTTTGTGTATTCATGCATAAAATATTTAAGATCTAAAGTTAAAAAAATAGAAAATTATTTTTTAAACTGCTTTATTAACTTCACAATATGTAATGAGCATCTTTCCATGCAATAGGTAAAACTCTTCTGTTGACAGAAACTTACAAATTGGGTCAAAACACAACATTCAATTAGAAGCTGGTAATAGGAGACCCACAGGAAACAAGTAACACCAAAAGGTTTACAAGAAAGTACATCACGAACAAGTTTAGGAAGGTGTGTCTCCCTACTAATTTAAGAGAAAACATCAGAATTCAAGGCATAAGGCAAAACTCATCATGATGGTCATGGTGAGGGGGGTCAGTGCTGACTGCCCGCAGACTATGACTTAACTGCTTTCCCCTCAGCTTTTCCATCAGCTGTCTCATCTCCTCCCCAACCCTTTCCCTGTTCTCTTGTCTCATCCTTGCCTGTGGCTCTCCAAGCCTCTGACCCCCGTCCCATCTATACTGCAGGATGGGCTGCCGAACACGGAACAGTCTACAATTTCCTCTTGGCACNTGCCGAACACGGAACCGTCTACGATTTCCTCTTGGCACACAGTATTCACCAGCTTCCAAAGGGAGGGCCAAGGGCTCTCCTTTATTAACATCTTGTTCCTTTTCATCCTTTTTTTCATTTTCCTGTTGGGCATTTTTCATGTTGAGAGTTTTTACTGCTTGTTCTTCTTTGGACGCCATTGCTCCTAGGAGACAAGAGATAAAAGGAACTATTTTTTTGGTGGACGGATCAGCACCGAGGACAGAGGCCCTACTACGCACCTTTCACGAAACAGCCCAGGATTTCAAAGGCTTTTTAAAACTGCATTTTTCCCACCTGAGAGGCTCCCTATGCCCTCTAGGGGGCCTCCAGTCCCAGCTCTCCCCCCTCCCTCTAACTCCCCTCCCCTCCCCTCC